GGAGGGGAGGAGAGGAGTGAGGAGGGAGGAGGGCAGGAGCAGGAAGCAGGAGGAGGAGTGGAGTAGGAAGGAGGAGGAGGGGAGGAGGAGGAGGAGGAGGAGAGGAGGAGAGGAGGAGGAGGAGGGAGGAGGAGGAGGAGGAGGAGGGGGAGGAGGAGGAGGAGAGGAGGAGGAGGAAGGGGAGGAGGAGGAGGAGGAGGAGTAGGAGGAGGAGGAGGAGGAGGAGGAGGAGGAGGGGAGGAGGAGGAGGAGGGAGGAGGAAGGAGGGAGGAGGAAGGAGGGAGGAGGGAGGAGGAGGAGGGAGGAGGGGAGGAGGGAGGAGGGAGGGGAGGGCGGAGGGAGGGGGGGGGAGGAAGGGAGGAGAGAGGAGGAGGGAGGAGGAGGAGGAGGAGGAGGAGGAGGAGGAGGAGGAGGAAGTGGGGGCGGCCCGGGCTCCCGAGCTCTGGCCCCGCACGGGTCCGCTTCTGGGGTTAAGCCGGGCGCGTCCCTCTACAGGAGGAAGATCCAAAAACCATCCAGAAATTGTCTGGGGACGAGTTTCTATATCTTTGTACCATTTATGCTTATTTTATGTTATGTTTCCACTGTCGCCCAAGACCCGCCTGTAGGAGGACATGCCCGACCTGACTCTGGCCCCCCACGGGCCCGCTTCTGGGGGAACGAACGGTGACAGAAACATAACCTCGGAGGTCCGCGCGGATTTCTCGGATCCGCGCTGGACCCCCTTGGCGGCGCCTCCGGCCCCGCTGCCGCGCGCTCCGCGCGCCAGGGAGGGGGGTCAAACGCCGATCCGAGAAATCCGCGCGGACCTCTGAGTTTTTATGTTTATGTCATTGTTCGCTCCCCTAGCTTCGGGCCCCAGGGCCCACACGCACAGAGAAAGCATGGCGAATGGTCCATACAAGGTTGGGTCGAGAGCCTTGAAGCCGTGGGTGTTCGAACGATCGGGACGGAAGCTGTCTGGAGGGGGGATGTTGGAGGAGGGCAGGAGGGAGGAGGAGGAGGAGGAGGGGGAGGAGGAGGAGGGAGGCGGGAGGGGAGGAGGGCTCAGGAGGGGGAGGAGGTGGGAAGAGGGAGGAGGAGGGGGGCGGGAGGGGAGAAGAAAGAAGAGAAGCAAATCAAACATTCGTATCTACTGCCGGGCGGGGTTGCACAGCAGCCAGCGGAGGCCCAGGGCTGGACTTGACCAGCCTTGAACCCCCAGCCGTGGAAAAAAAAGTACATGTATATATTTATATATATAAAAATATAACGCAGAGCGCCGCAGGCACCACCAGGCCGAGCACCCACCCGACGGAAGGAGGGAGGCAGGGCAGGGCAGGCAGGGGAGGAGGTGGGAAGTGGCAGGGAGGGAGAGACGGGGGCTGCCAGCAGGGCCTCCATCGGGCAACAAACAGACACATGAGCATAAATAGTGGGAGCTCCGCGCCGATGCCTTGGATCGGCGATGGATCCACCCCTCCTTGGCGCGCGGAGCGCGCCTTCTCCAGGGGGCTCTGGCGCTGATCCATGAAATCCGCGCCGACCTCCAGAAGTATGCGGTCGGACCGAGGTGTGAGATCGAGGTCGGTTCGGGGAGGGTATGCCCTAATGTTCTTCGTGTTTGTCGCATGCTCTTGTGCATCCTGGAGGGCACCGTCGCATGCTATTCAGTTTGGCCAGTGGAGGATGTCATGTTCTTGAAGGATGTGTAGTCTGTCCTAGGTCTGGCCATATGCTTACGTACAGTCAACGCGCCTAGTAAAGACGTGCGCCTTCATATCTAGGGTGCCTTTGTCTCCTTGCCTCTGCGGCCTGTCCCTTGGCCGTTTCTCGACCCAACAGCCGTGCCAGCGGAGTTCGGACGTGCCCACGATGCCCTCGCCTAGAGTGGAACTCCTTTTCGCGGCATCTGGCCCATTGTTCCACCGAAGGGACGCCGGCTGGGTGCAGAAGGGGAGCGGCGCAGGAGGGAGCCCCCCCCTGCTCCCACGCATGCGCGCCACCAGGAAGGAACGTGCGGTCCGCGTGGCGCCATCTGCTTTACTCACAGTCAGCCCGCATGGTGAGGATGGGCGACCACCTTCCCAAGGGTACTCCTGCATCGTTGCCTCCTCGATCCATCCTGGGCCACGTTCCTTGGCCGCGCCCCGCTCGCAAAGCCTCGAAAAAAAGGGCGCCCAAGGACCTTGCACCCTCACCGCGCCTCCTTGTGATACGGGCCGACTGTTATGTTTCACGCGGTTGCCCCGGGCAGCTGCGCCCAGCGAGCTTGCGGCAGCTCGGGGCCGCCACTCTGCAGAGGCAGGCGCACCCCCCTCTCGCGAGCGCGGCGCTCCGCCGAGGGCGTGCGGCCACCATCGACGCCGGCCCCGCGGAGTTGGACGTCCCTGGCGTCGGGGGCTGCCTGGCCGACCCCTGCGCCAAGCCTCACGGGAGGAAAAAGCACCCAGACCCCGACAGTTGGCGTTTATTAGGGGGGGCGGAGCCTGTCGCGGCCTACCCCGCGGCGGCGCCCCGCCCCCCCCCCCCCCAGCGCGCCAGCGCCCGCGAGAGGCCCCCGCCCGCGGCGCGGAGCCGCAGGGGCGCGACGGGCCCGCGAGGCCCGGGGGCGAGCGCCCCGCAGACCCGGGGATCGCCCCCAGCAGCGGGTGTCGTGCCCGCCTCGTCCTCGTCCTTCGGCAAGCCCAGATCCCCTCGCGCTGTGCAGAAATCACGGCGGCTCGCGCTGTGGAACAGTCACAGCGGACGGTGTTTCGCTACTCTCGGCCTCCAGGGGCCCTTTACCAGGCCCCGGGACCGTCCAAAGATGGTTCAGGATGAAGCAGCGGTCCCGAGGGAGGGGTCCAGACTTCTGGGGGTCGACGTTGTGACAAAAATCAAGACGTCGGGGCCTAGGAGGGCGGATTGAAGACAGAACGAGGGAAGACTTGGCGGCGCGCAGAAGCGGGGAGGGGGAGGGGGGAAGGCTTCTTAGAAGGAGGCTGCTTCTTCGAATGCGCGGGCCCTGTCTACAGATGTAGGGCCGGCGCCTTCTAAGGAGCAGCCTTCTCCCGAGAAGTTTTCCCCCCCTCCCCCTACCCCTCTCTGCGCGCCGCCAGGTCCTCCTTCGTTCTGTCTTCCAACCGCATCTGCTGCAAAAACGAAGCCGACACGAAAACGGCCCCCGATATCGCCAAAAAGCACCGTTCACCCAGACCCGGGACGTCATGATTTTTTCATGACGTCGACCCTCAGCAGTCTCGACCCCTTCCCCATGACTGGTTTCTCATCCTGAGTCGTTATGTTGACGGTCCCGAGGCCTGGTCAGGGCTCCCAGAGGCCCCAAATAGGTCGGGGGTGGACAGACCTCCTACCCTGACACGTCGATTAGCGAATTGGCCGTTTTCGGTTCGCCAGAGGGCGTCGCGGACGTCATTTTTGCGTGTCCAGGTCCGTCGGTTTCGGTCCCAGGCCGTTTTCACTACAGGGAGGTTTACTAAAGGGAGGTTTGTCCACCCCCGAATAGGCAAGAACCTCCTGTCGCAATGTTTCCACAACGCGAGGGCGTCTGAGTAGGTCGACCCCTGCCGCAGACAGCTGCGCGGCCCAGGCCGCAGCGGCTGCGCGCCCCGCGGCTTGCCGCCGGGGCCTGCCGCCGCGGGCCGGCGCGCGCCCCGGGCGGCGCCCTCCGGCGGGGGGGAGGGCACGAGACGTGCACTTGCAGCGGCCTCGGCTTCCCGGGTGGGGCTTCGGGGGGCGAGAGTTGCGGGCGTGTGCGCCGGTTCTCGGCGGGTGCACGATCTGTACACCTGCAGCGGCCTCAGCCTCCTTCGGGTCCTCCTCCTCCTCCTCCTCGTCCTCCTCCTCCTCCTCCTCCTCCTCCTCCTCCTCCTCCGCCGCCGCCTCCTCCTCCTCCTCATCCTCGGTCCGAGCACACGAGTTCTGTGGATGGAGCCGCATCGCCGATGCATCGGCGATGCGGCTCGATGTGGAGCCCGATTTTCGCCACGCCGACGGCGGCGATGCATCGCCGATACATCGGCGATGCATTGCCAATACATCGGACCCCATTTGAGAGGCCTCTAAGCGATCATGGGCCAGGCCGACCTTGGGCCCAGGATCGGTGCGTACCCTGATCATTGGATGCCAGAGTGTCCTGGTCGCGACCGACGAGATGTGTCGGCGCTGCCGACTGTGCTTCAAATTCTGAGATCGGTCGCGACTGGCTCGTTTCAAACTCGGTCGCGACCGACCAAAAAGACTGTATCCAAAGCCTGCCCTGCCCAGGCCAGGGGAGGGGCGCTGGCGCCGACCCTGGGGCCCAGGAGGAGGAGTCCCTGCCAGGACCGATATGCAGGCGAGCACTGTCGGCGCCCCTCCCGCAGCGCGGCCGCGGCGGCCATGAGCACGCTGGACCGGCTGCGGCAGAAGCAGCGCCTGCGGCAGCAGGCGGACGACCCGCAGCTGGAGGCGCTGCTCGGCGCCTCGGGCGCGGCAGCCCCCCCCCTGCGCGGCGCCGCGCAGCCGCCGGCGGCTCCCGCGGGCGCCGCCGTGCAGGCCGCGGCCCCCGGCGCCGTCGGCGACGGGGGCGCCGCGGCGCCGAGCTCCTCGCGGAAGCGGGCGGCGATGGGGGGCAACGGCGGGGAGGGGAGAAGCTCAGCCACAGGCTCAGGGGGCTCGGGAGGGGCGGGCTCGAGGTTCGAGGCCAGCGACCGTCGCCGTGTGTCCCTGGCAGCGGTCCAGCCCTGGGGCGCGCTTCCGCAGCTGCGCCTCGCGCCTCGCCGCGAGGCATCGTGCCCGAACGCCCGCCGGGAGGCCCGAGCTCTGGCCCGAAAATCAGACGACGAGGGTCACTGGGGGGGGGGGGCCCATGGGGTGGGAGCATCGGCTCAGCCCAGGCCCTCACCCCGCCCAGGAACGTGCTGCTTTGCACAATCTACTGGGGGCCCAGCGTCAATCTGTCGGCGATGCACCGTCCATTCCAGGTCAACACTTCTCCTTTCACCATCTATCGGGGTCATGCCGCCGATCTATCGGCGATGCACCTTCGATTCCAGGCCGACGCCCCCCCTTGCGCTATCTGTCGTGGGCCTGTCGCCGATCTATCGGCGATATGCCGTCGATTCCAGGCCGACGCTCCACCTTTCGCTATCTGTTGTTGGGGCGCCTGCCGCCGATCTGTCGGCGGTGCACCGTCGACTCCAGGCCGACGCTCTCCCGCCTGGGCGCAGGTGCCACCCCTCGTCGTTCCCACTCAGGCGAGCGCGGCGGCACCCGCACAGGGCGCGGCCCTGCCCGACGGCGCCGCCGCCGGCGCCGGCGCCGGCGCCGGCGCGCGGGTCTTCTCGGCGGAGGGGTCGTGCCCAGCGTCGGTCCCAGAGCTGCAGGGGGCGGTGCTGCGGTTCGTGTGCGGCTCCGCCTCGTTCGGCCCGCTGCCCGTCAGCGGCGTCGGCCTGAACGCGGCGCTGCGGCGGGAGTACATGCGGGCGGGCCACGCCAGGGCCGCGCTGGCCATCTTCAGGGCGGAGAACACGGTTGCCGCGCTGCGGGGCCTCCAGGATCGGCTACGCGTGAGAGGGACCCTTCGCTGGAGTGGCCTCTGATGCGGGTCGACAGGGGTCCCCCCCAACACTGGCCTGCGCGCTTGGATTCGGCCTTCCCGCGGCCCCTGGCGCACCAGAGGCCAGCCTTGCCCAGGGCCACTCCTGCGCGCGGCCAGCAGGAGCAGCTGGCGGCCGCGGGCTGCCGCGGGGCCCTCAAGGTCGAGGAGGCGGCGGACGGGGAGGACATCCTCATCGTCGACGCGGACCCTCACGGGATCTCCCAGGCCCTCCTCGCCCCGCAGCCAGGGGAGAGCTCCAGGCGCAGGCACTCGGACGGCTCGGGGCGCAGCAAGCGCGCGCGCCGCGAGGACGGGTCGGGCGCGGGGGGCCCCCCGCAGGGCGCGGGGTGGGCGCCGGAGGTGCGGGCGGCCGGGCAGGCCGTCGGCCAGAGGCCGCCCGTGGCGCAGCTCGGCGGATGCCGGTGCAGAGAAAGACCCCAGCACGAGCACAAGTCTTGAGAGTCGGGCGTGTCCCTCTACAGGGGGGATGTTCAGAAATAGTCAAGAAGTAGTCGGGGGACGATTTTTTTACTATTTGGGACTCTTTGGGGGGGGGCATTGTTTGACTATCTTGTGTTTTCGGTCCAAAATTCGCCTGTAGGAGGACATGCCCGACCTAACACAAGTCGTCGGAGGGCCGCGCGGAGTTCCTGGATCGGCGCTGAGCCCCCCTGATGCGCGCCAGTGCCGATCCAGGAGACCCGCACGGGCCTCCGCGAAGGCTTTGCGTCCGTGTGCCGATGCCGCTCCTCCCAGGAAGGGCGGAGAGCGTGGACGACCTGCTGAATGCCCGGACGGCGAGGCAGCGGCAGCTGATGAGCCAGGGCGAGGACCTCCGGAAGCTGCTCGCGGAGCCGACGGCCAGGCAGAGCTTGGTGGCGCAGAAGTTCATGAACAAGTCGACGTCCATGGCGCAGTTCTGCCCGAACGGCAGCCGCTGCGACTGTCGCCAGGCCACGGGGTCGGCCGCCGCGTGCGAGAAGATCCACTTCAAGAAGATCATCAAGCCGTGGACCGACGAGTCGCTCGGGGACTGCTCGTACCTGGACACCTGCCGCCACATCGACAAGTGCAAATACGTGCACTACGCCCTCGACCTATCGGTGGAGCAGGCCAAGCAGCTGAACGAGTCCGGGGTGCACAACCGCGGCACCGACACGAAGCGCATCAACGAGTTGGCGATGAAGGGCATGGACCTGCCAGCCCAGTGGGTGTATTGCGACCTCAGGAGGTTCCCGCTGTCCATCTTCAACGGGCTCGTCAGCGTTGTTATGGCCGACCCCCCCTGGGACATCCACATGGAGCTGCCATACGGCACCCTCACAGACGAGGAGGTCAAGAACCTGAAGGTCGGGGACATCTGCGAGGACGGCCTGATCTTCCTGTGGGTGACCGGCAGGGCCATGGAGCTAGCACGAGAGTGCTTCCGCATCTGGGGCTACCGCAGGATAGAGGAGATCATCTGGGTGAAGACGAACCAGCTGCAGCGCATCATCCGCACAGGGCGTACGGGCCACTGGCTCAACCACTCGAAGGAGCACTGCCTCGTCGGGATCAAGGGCAATCCGAAGATAAACAGGAACCTCGACTGCGACGTCATCGTCAGCGAGGTGCGCGAGACGTCACGGAAGCCAGACGAGATCTACAATCTCATCGAGCGGATGATGCCGAATTGCCTCAAGGTAGAGCTCTTCGGCCGCCCGCACAACGTCCACGAGAACTGGATCACCTGCGGCAACCAGCTCGACGGCGTCCGCTTGGCCAACGAGGAGATCGTCAGGCGATACAACCGAGAGTTCCCGCGCAACAAGATCGAGCCCTGGAGGCGGGAGCGCGAGGCGGTGGTGCCGCTGCACATTCCCCCTGGCGGCGGCCGCACGGGCGCCACGACTGCGGAGGTCGGCCACGCGTAAGAGTGACCTTTCGCCGGCGTGGCTTCTGGTGCGCGGCTCTCGCGTGGCGCCGGGGGCCAAGTCCAAGCACGCGGACCGCTGCTGCCGCATCGCACGCAGCGATCCGAGGGCCGCGCACCACAGGCCACCCCTCTCGCGCAGGGCCACTCTTGCGCGCAGCCGCCGAGGGCGCCCCCTGGGTGCCGCCCGCGTCCGCGCCGCCGCGGGCCCTGGAGGCCGGCGCCGACCGCCTGGACGCCGCGGCCGGCGCCGAGGCCGCGGAGGGTCCTCGGGCGCCGCCCGCCGGCCCGGAGGGCGGCGCCGCCGCGGCCGCGCCCGCGCCGCCGGGCGGCGCGGAGGAGCCGCCGCCGCCGCAGAGGGCGTGGAGCGGGCCCGCGGGCGCCGCGTGGACGGTGAGGCCGCTGGGCTGACGGGCGCGCCCCGGGCGGCGGGCGGCGCAGCCCGGCGGCGCGGGGCGTTGGGCACGACGGCAGGAGCGGGGAAGCGTAAGAGCCGTGCGGCCGAAGAGGGTGCGGAAAGGACGGGCACGAAGACCAGCAGCAGGGCTCCTTTTCACTCCTCCGAGTCGATGCGATGCGCGTTCGATGGCTTCCGATTCCGATCCGGTCTGGTCTCGGACGCCGATGTTGATCCTGGATTCCCACTGGAGGCCTTACTGGCCCGCCGATGTCCGCCGATGCGGTTGCTTCCGACTTGGTTGCCGTTTTCCGCCGATCCGATTCGCTTCGACCGCCCTATCCGACTTATCGATCGGATTCGGAGCCCTCCAGCCAACAGCGGTCCTGCCCATTTTGCACAGGATTCGCTGTCAGCATCGCCTCGGACGCTGTCCATTTGAGACAAGAGGTCGCCTGCCCAACAGCGGCCGCTGATGGTTTGGGACGTCATGAACTGTTGGGCGTCGTACCCATGTTTTCCGTACCCATTTCGGGTGCGCCGATCAGACTTGAGTTTGTTGGTGGTCGGTTTGGTCAACGTTTTCTGACGGGCCCGTCCTGAATTTCGATGGTCCAGTATTCGTGGGACGTTTGTAGTGGCAGCTCGCGACAAATTTCAGACGGGGTCTCGCCATTGTTCTGACGGCCTTCTCAGGCCAACTCGAGTCCCCCAAACTCGAGTCCCACGTTCCCCCGGAAGAACCCAGAGCGGCATGCCTATGAAGTTGGGGAGCTCCGCGCGGGTTTCGTGGCCCTGCGATGCCTGGCGCGCTCTGCGCGCCAGGGAGGGGGGGGCCCAGCGCCGATCCAGGAAGTCCGCGCGGACCTCCGAAAGTTGATGCCTATGCCAGTTTGGGGGTCCCCCAGGGCAGCCTCGGGGTGCAATCGCGCAGGCGCAGGCAGGCCCGGATGTCGGCGACGCGGTGGCAGGGGCGAGTGCGCTTCCGACGACGAGCGGGCCGAACGCGCAATGCCATGCGCCAAGCAGCTCGCCGAGAAGCGTGGCTGTACTGCCGGCGGCCTGGCCTGCAAGGCGTGCGTCACGCAGGGATGCTGCAAGGACGGTGCCGCCGTGGAGGGCACGGAAGACGCGCAGGGAAGAAGTTGTGGGTGTTCGACGGGACGAGATGCACCGCTCTGTCTCCTCATGCTTGTCCCGCGCCTCGTTTCCTCCTCGCAATCGTCACTGCAGCTAAAAAGTTGGCCAGTACAGGGGGAGAGTGTGCACGGCCCGTGCGCAAGCATGAGTGCTTCCAGCGGCGCTGCCGCGCAGGTCCACCGCCACACTATGGAGGGGTGGCTGGGGTGGAGTCCTCGGGCTCACGGACCCCACAAACCCACATTTCGTCGTTTGTGGTCATGCCGTATCCCTGTGAAGGTCTAGAACCAAGTAGTGGTTTGGAGTGACACGTCGACGCGTGTCAGGCTCGGTGCGCTGAAGGGGGGGCGTTTGATTCAGTAGGGGGGGGCGACATACCAGCCACAGCGCAGCGCGACAGCGGACGTAAGGAGCGTCGCCACCCTGGCGACGCTCCTTAGGTCCGACCCTCCTTGACCTTCTCTTCACCCACCCTCTTATCAACACCATCATATCACTCATCCTCCTTATTCTCCTCAACATCCCAGATTCCTCCTCCCCACAATCCGCTCAACTTCGTGAAGCAACAATCCCTTGAGAACCTCCGAGAGCCCCCTCAGAAACACTTCGGCCCCACACACACACACACACACACACACACACACACACACACACACCACACACACACACACACACACACACACACACACACACACACACACACACACACACACACACACACACACACACACACACACACACACACACACACACACACCCGCACGCACGCACGCACGCACGCACGCACGCACGCACGCACGCACGCACGCACGCACGCACGCACGCACGCACGCACGCACACACACACACACACACACACACCACACACACACACTTTTTGGCGGTTTCTCGGTAGCGGCCTCGCGCGCAGCGACAAGGTGGAGTAAGTCGAAGCACAGTGCGCGCGGCGGCCAGGCCCTCAAGAATCACTTAGCATGCAGAACCCACCGGCATCAACCATCTGGGCGTGGATGGCGAGGAGGTGACACGCCATATTGTGGGCAGAGCCCAATCGGCAGCATAAGAAGAGGAGGATTGCATCAGCGCATCGGGGCATGGATGGCAGGGAGGGTGCACGCAGACCGAGGGACACACACACACACCTTTAAGTCAGCGGCGCAGAGGGTCCTCAAGCGAGCAGCAGATGGAGGTGCTAATTGCGACCGGGCGTTGTCGATAGCGCAGCGTACAAGCGTCGCACACTGCAACATGCAAACACACACGCACACACACACACACACAGCTACCCACCCGCCCCACCCCCGACACACTCCTCCCTCTCATCCCACTTTCCCTCCTCCTCCTTCTCCTCGTCGTCCTCCCCCTCCTTGTCATCTTCCTCCCTCCTCCCTCCTCCTCCTCCTTCTCCTCCTCCTCTCCTCCTCCTCCTTCTCTTCCTCCTCCTACCCCTCCTCCTCCTCCTCTTCCTCCTTCTCCTCCTCATCGTCCTCCTCCTCCCCCTCCTCGTCTGTCCCTTTTCCTTCTCCTCCTCCCCCTCCTCCTCCACCTCCTCCCCCTCCTCCTCCTCCTCCTCCGCCTTCTCCTCCTCCGCCTCGTCCTCCCTCCTCAGCCTCCTTCCCCCTCGTCCCGCCTCTCCGCCACTCCTCCTCCTTCTCCCCCTCCTCCTCCTCCTCCTCCTCCCTCCTCCTCCTCCTCCCCCTCCTCCTCCTCCTCGTCATCATCATCAGCAGCAGCAGCATCCTCGTCAGCATCATCATCTGCATAAGCATCATCATCATCATCACCAGCATCATCATCATCGTCAGCAGCAGCATCAACAGCATCATCATCAGCAGCATCATCAGCATCATCATAATCATCGGCATCATTGTCGTTATCGTCGTCGTTATCAGAAGCAGCAGCATCATCATAATCGTCGTCAGCAGCAGCAGCAACATTAGCAGCAGCATCAGCATCATCATCAGCATCATCAGTACAATCATCATCATCATCATCATCATCATCATCATCATCATCATCATCAGCAGCAGCAGCAGCAGCATCATCATCCCCCTCGTCTTGCCCGTCTATGTCCACATCCATGATCCCACCTCCTCTTCCTCCTCATCCTCCTCGTCTTCCTCCTCCTCCTTCACCTCCTCCTTCTCCTTCTCCTGCTCATCCCTCTTCCTCCTCCTCCTCCTCCTCATCCTCCTCCTCCTCGTCCTGCTCCACATCCTCCTCCTCGTCCTTCTCCTCCTCATCCTCCTCCTCGTCCTCCTCCTCCTCCTCATCCTCCTCCTCCCACTCCCCCTCCCCCTCCTCCTCCCCCTCCCCCTCCTTTTCCTCGTCTGCCCCTCCACCTCCACATCCCTTCTCCCCACTCCTCCCCTCCCCCTCCCCCGTCCTCCCCTCTCGTCGGCCCTCCACTCCACATCCTTCTCCTCCTTACCCCTCCTCCTCTCCTCGCTCCTCCTCCTTCTCCTCCTCCTTCTCCTCCTCCTCCTCCTCCTCCTCCCCTCCTCCTCCTCCTCTCCTCCTCCTCCTCCTCCTCCTCCTCCTCCTCCTCCTCCTCCTCCTCCTCCTCCTCCTCCCCGCCCGCTTTGCCGAAAAAGGGCGCTGGGCCCCCAGGTACTCCACTCCGAGGTGTGGCACGTGCCTCCGGAGGGCCTCAACGCCTCCGTAGCCGGGGCGGAGCTGCGGCTACGCCTGCCAGCAGAGGCAGAGAGCCCCCGCCGCTTCTGCACGGTGCGGTCGACATGGGTACAGAAAGAATGGGCACGAAGACCCACAGCAGTTCCTGCTCCTTTTGAACAGGACTCGCTGTCCACGCCGCTGCCTGCCTTGTTCATTTGAGACAGAATGCCGCCTGCCCAGCAGCGGCCGCTGTGGGTTTGGGGCAGCGTTTGCTGTGAGGCATCGCACCCATTGTTTCCGGGCCCGATTCGGGCGTTCAAGTCAGCAGGAGGAGGGTCTTCTGTGAGCGGGACGTGGTGAGCACAGGGGCCGTCATAGTCGTATGTCATCGGGTTGCGCACAGACGGTCCCCGCAGGGAGTCCCCTGCCGGCTTCCACGGGCCCCCCGAGCAGCCCCAGCTGGCCTCAGCAGGCCCTCGGAGCAGTTGGGGGCGGTCTCAGCACCCCGGCGCCGCCGGAAGCTGCCGCCCTCGGGGCCTAAGAGACGGGGGTCAGTGCAAACGGGGGTCAGCCAGAGCGCCAGACCCTACAGGATCCTGCGAAGGCCCCCTCTGGCTGACCCGGGTTAGCGAGCCGCTCGTGACCGCGAGGCGGCCGCTCGTATTGGCTGACCCGGGTTTGCGAAGACCTGCGTTGCAGTTTTTTGTCCTGCACTGCAGTTTTTGGTTTCTTGCTGACCCGGGTCTGGATTGACCCGGGTCAGAAGATCCCCGACGCCCCAGGGTTGAGGTGTTGATGCGCCAAGTACACGCGGCAGGAAGCGAAGATATGCCGCAAGGTGTGCAGGATCGAAGGCGAAGAGGGCGGGCATCGAGGGCGTCGTGCAGGCGGAGGCGCCCCTGTGCCACAGGAAGAGTGGCTCGCTTCTGGACCGCAGCTCGTTGAGGAGCTCCGTCCTCACAGCTTCCGGTCGGAGGCGACGAGGCGAAGGGCCTTTTCCGTGTTCGGGCGGAGGTGGGCCGTCGGCCCTTGCTGCGTTCGGTCGAAGGCGAGTTCTTCGCCCCCCCTCCGCGTGCGGCCGAACATG